AAACAAACACGTCTTGTCAGAGCCTCGGCAAAGCAAAGTGGTCACTTCTTTTGAACATTTTTGCAAATGACAATGTGGAAATGGCTATTTCTTTTAATCGAGAATGTTCTCCTGTCCACGACGGGCAGGATAAGATTGTTCACCTGCTGATGTGGCAGGAGAATCCTACGTGGGGTTCTCTTCAAATATGAGAACCCCACGTTGGGTTCTCTACGAGTGGACAAGATAAGATTGCCCACCGTTGATAGGAGAACGAGACTGTTCTTTTAATTTCCTCATTGGTTGCTGAGGTTGTCACATTATTTTTCATGTGGCATTATTTCATTGGCATAGGTTATTACTCAGTACCAATGTGATTGAGATCGTTCCTTGTATTATCCGAAGAAAGCAATATTTCGATAAATTTATGGTAAATGCATTGCCACGTGGCAATAGAAAAAAAAAACTTTTTTTAATTAATTTGAATTTGATTTTATGAGTCTTCACTTTGCTTGATCTATAGCTACTTTTATCAAAAGAATCAAAACTACTACTAAAATCATGTTAATTACTAAAAGTGGCTTATTCTTGTAAAAACTTTAAATTTCAAAAGAAGAAACTGCGAGATTGAGAAAAATAACTAGTAAAGGTTTCTATTTATCAACCCCTCACTATTCGTGAAGTAAACTTTAGTCGAATATTATATTGCCCTTGTTTGATAGGGATTAAAATCAGATTTTTAGTAAATTTTAATAAAAGTTGATAAAATGAGCGGTTGACTGAAATTAAACCGAATAAGGAAATTATTTTAAACATGTTACGGATATTAAAAAGAATAAACACACATTTGTCGTACCAAATTAGAATTAAAATAAAAATGTCTTAAACATTTCGAAAACTTAAATTCTTGAACGATTTCCTTCTCCTTCTCCTTCTCTTCACTTCACTTCAAACTTTCTATTTTCAGAACAAAAACTTGTCACATATTATAAAGGTACTTGGCTTGAACACGGCTAAATGGTAGTAGTTAACCCTCTTTCAATAATTTTTAAAAGATATAATTTTCAAATACAATACTTTATTTGTACTTATAACTATAATATTGTATCTATTCTGTAAAATGATAACTTAGCCCCGTTTGAGTCCCATTTTAAGGAAAAAAAAGAGTTTTATAATACTGATTTTGTTTTTTAAAGATTGTGCAGTAAAAAAGTAAGAATTTTTTTTAAATTTACATGCAAATTATTCCATTGAAAGAATGTGTGATTAAAAATAAATTAAAAAAAAAGTATTTTATGATAACCAGCTTAGTTATCTTTAACTTCAACAAAATAAAAATTTACTTTTTTGAAGTAAAAGTAAATTGTATGAGCTTGGTCAGGCGTTTGACACATTTTAGTAGAAAAATGTGTTTTTGAATAGTGATTGATGGAAGGATGTGTGGTTAAAAAGTAAAATTTTTTTTTAAAGTTTATGTATAATATTATTTTATTGATAAAATGTGTAATTGAAATGAAGAAAGAGAGAAAGAATGAGAACGAGAACGAGAAATAAATGGGTGCCAAAGTGGGGCGAAGTGGACAACTCATATCCTCCAAATCAATTGATTCAAAAAGCCAAAGTATATGGACCCCACCTGACCATTTAATTCTTGGACTTTGCTCTAGGTACTCACCGACTATACACAACATTTGGGAGGGAATTTTTTTTTTTTTTAATATTTTATACATGGAGCCCACTACATTTGAATTTGAATTTGAATTCAAAAATCTGGTTTTGATAAAAATTCCCTATACTTTAATCATTTTCCTTAATTTTTTAGCAGAACTCCTGCCAACCACAAGATTTTTTGGCTACTTTTGTAACCACTATCTTGTTTCCACGTGTCATCCACCACACCAACCCCCCGTTGGACCAGCACCATGAATGAGCCCAAAAAAT